CACGCACAGGCACACACACACACACACACCAGCAGATGAGGAGACTGTTAGGTAGTAAGCTCACTTCTTCAGCTTTCACAGACCCTGTCAAGGCAAAGGAGGGATGTCAGCACTCCCCCTTCAGGCTTCTGTAAAGAGAGCAAGAATCACACATACAATGCCCTTTTTGCCTATTTTCTTTTTCATGAGGTTTCTAAGAAACAAGTAACACTCTGGACACAGTCACTGTAACTAGCTGATGAAACACATGTGATACATACACAGGTAACCAGCATAAAGTGGATCAGTAATAATGAACAAAAATCTAATGATTAAACATATAAATTACATGTTTAAATGCTGCGCGGCTGTGTGTAGCGCCTATTTGTATATAACTTTAAAAATGTGCCCTAGTACTACAATCTAAAGAGCAAGAATACATTTAGCAAACTCACACACTGCACTTCTATTTAAATCTCTGTCTCCAGGTCTGCTGTTCAGAGCATTTATATGCTCGTGTACCAACCGCTAAATGAATCCAGTGTTACTGCGATCTGTTGCCTGCTTCTCTTTTCTGAGAGTAGAAAGGTATCATTATAAATTATATTTGCTATCAACAATAGCAAAGTAAAAAAACTCACATCAATAAACGTGTCTTTTTGTTATTTCCACCTGTTTCACTTGCTTTCTCAGATCTTTGTTGTTGAGGGTCTGGGTGGTATGTTTGCTTAGGCCACCATCTTGGGTTGATTCCTTCCACCAGAAATTTTAAAGTAGCAAAACGACTCTAACTCTACTTTTATTTTATAACGAGGAACTTGGAATTGTCGTCTCTGAGAAACAGTACTATAAAAAAATTCGATGTGTGTTTTGTGTATGAAACCTGTTTATTCCCAGAAATTAGCCTACCATTAAACGTTATTTCTACTCTGTTTATCCGACTCCTGGGGACTTAGAGAAAATACGAGATCTAGGATTTGGAGTCTGAAGTTTCCAATATGAAAATATAATGTTTCAAATATTAAAAAATAAATGTGTCTTTTGGGGCTCATGATGTATTGAATCCTTCACTTCCCTTCCCTCCTTTCATAAAGGATGTGCATATAGTAGGTCCATCTTTTCACTGCCCTTCATAGCTTTTCATTACTTTCCAGATGTTCAAACATGGGTCAAGCCTAGTTGTCACAAGGTGGGGGGACACACCACTGCGAAGTAAGTAATGAGCCGTTCACATAAGGTATGCACTAATAAAAATTTAATATCATAAAACAAATCAAAAACAGCATTTTATTTTTTAACCATTCACAAACTAGAAAGAGACAAATTATAAGGCAGCCATCCATGGAATGATTATATGTTCACAAAAGATCCAGAACTGTCCAGGCTACTGAACCAGGGGAACTGCAGTTATCCCATAAGACTTGTAAGTTGCTGGAAGGTACACCAGAGAAACAACCAAGGCCAATCTCCTAACTAGTTATCTAGTTCTTTCCCACAAGTCACAAGTTTCTTTCTGGTCCCTGAGGTAAATCTACATACCTCAGGAATAAAGGCTTTCGTTTCCAGCATCTCTCATGGTTGCTCTTTGAGCAATGTGGACCATTCTGTACGAAGCAGAATTTTCTCATTAGGAAGGTTCCCCGCAGAACAGCTACACATGGTTCTCGCTTTGCACTGTGGCAGACGTGGATGACTCCAGGAATTATTATTCCTAGTCTCCCGAGGGGCGCAGGGATCCGAAGAGCAGATTTGTTCTTTGGGGGCTCATGCTGCGGACATACAGGTCCTGTGTTCAGCACGCAGGTACCATGTGTTTTAGGCAAGGCTTTGAACCAGCTCATTCCCGTTCGACCCACTGCTAAGAATTTGCATTTGCACCTAATATACTGAATTAGAATCTGTATTATAACAAGATCAAGTGATTCTTAGAGATTCTATAAGAATCATACGTAAGAATCACTGGGGGGTCCCGTTACAATGTAGATTCTGCAATATATCTGTGGTGCAAATCCAAATCTTAGCAAGGTGGCAAACCGGAATGAACTGGTTCGAAGCCCTGGTTTTAGGGGCTTAATACACTCTGATGCTGGTGTGTCTTCCTAGTTCTAATCAATGAAACAGAAAAAAACAGGAAGTGACACTCAGAACAAGGCTGGTGAAAAAAAACACAATGACATTTTTCTCCTTTCTACAAAGAACCAAGAACTCAAAACAGCCATTTCTCTGGTTTTTTCTAATGATTGGAAACACAGGAACAGGGCTGACTTGGCTGTTTTGAATTGGGAATAAAAAGGCAAAAAGGGGTGGGGAGGGAGAACACAGAGCCTCTCCCCCTTCCACTGCAGAACCTTGCCTGAAAAAAGAAACCTGGCAACCGCATGCACAGGAAAAGCAATCACACCCGCAGCATCACCACTCTGGTGACATGGGAACTGAGTAGCAATTAACTGGAGAATACGTGCAGGGAAATGGGTAAGTAGTTTTTCAACTTAATTTGCCAGGTAAGGGAGTACTTGGAGTCGGAATAAATCTATCCCTAAGAAGGAAAGGGAGTCAAACTGCAATTAGCGTTGGCTCTGAGGAAAAAAGGACCACGCTTTTCATCAACCACATCTCTTTGGTAGCCAATAATTCCATTTGTACTCATGGTAGCACTGCCAATGGTTTCAAACGTGTCAGAGCATTAAGGCGTCCACATCTACCGAGGCAGTTTTAAACGAGGAAAACGGAACTGAAATGTGCCAATAAGTGGGCATCAGTATGGCCTCTCCTGGGACACTGCCCACCATGTTGGCAAGTCCCTTCCGGCAGTGGAGGCAGCTCTGCCCACTGCCTGGTTCCCTGCTGCCTGAAGATGCATTTGAGCCCTATAAGATTAATATGGCTATTTTTGCCTGCTGACCAGGAGAGAACTGAGTAGTTCTTGAGGCAGCCGCTTTAAAATCTGGGAATGCCCACAGCTCCCAAGAGCTGACAGGTCTCAAAAGGGTTGCTTGTTGGTGGTGAGCTCCAGATCAAAAAACTCACTGCCACTGTAGTCAATTCTGACTGACAGCGACCCTATAGGGCAGAGTAGAACTGTCCCATAGGATTTCCAAGGCTGTAGATCTTTATGGAGGCAGACTGTCTCATCTTCCTCTTGCAGAGTAGCTGGTGTGTTTGAAACTGCTGTCATACTGGTTAGCAGCCCAATGTCACCAGAGTGCCACCAGAGCTCCTGAGGTCCAGAGGGGAAGGCAAATTTGGAGTTAGATGGTTCAATCCTTGCCAGAGTTCAAGGCCTTACCCTGTAGGATATTCTAGCCAAACTTGTTGAGTGTAATGGCAAGGCACTACTGCAAGAGGCTTTGCTCAGCAGAGTAAGTTTCTGACCACTGCACAGAAAGATAGGGCAGAAAGTGCTACTATCCAAACTGAACCAGACACTACAATGAGCTATTCGTTAAGTTTCCAATGAGTATCAAGGCAATCATATAATTTTGAAGGACCAGATGAAGCTCCATGACTTTGATAAGGCAGCTGTTATCATCTAATCAGGAAAGTCACTTAGACTTTCCATGCTGTACCTTCTGTTGGTTTTAAAATTGTATGCAATGGATGCCAGCCACTATACAAAACGGTGTACTATTTATGCTGCTTTGGTCTGTAGCCAGCAGAGGGCTCACAAGCTCTATTTCAGACAGCTGCTGGCCCTGCGACAAATCTAGGAAGGAACTAAAGAAATCCTAAACTTGCTGGCTTATGCACCATGTAAAATGTTTATGAATTCCTAAATCCACTGCTCTCAAGAAAATATCCTTGGTTTCCCCTTTATGTAATGTATTTTGAAATGGTACAGAAAATCAAAATAAATTATTAATACAGTGTTATATACACTTAACTGGCAAAACAGGATTGATAGGGATTTTGGCAAATCTGGAAAAATTTCCCTAGTTTGTTAAACACTTTTGCTATCTCAATTGTTAAAATTACCAGGATATTAATGAATGGATCAACTCACACATCAGGAGGTGATAGTTTAAGGGCTTAACAAAGCTGCATTTGACACAAAGGTAACTTCTTTGAAGGGAATAAAGAACAGAGACAATAACATTTTCATCATCACAGTTCAAGAAGTGGTCATCCTGATGAGAACTCAACTCACAGAAATACTAACATCGCCACCAGCAGTAAGCAGCAGATTGTGGGGAGGAGGGGCTGGAGGGAAAGTGAGGAGAAAAGCATGGAAAAGATGAAGAGGCAAGAGACATGATTTCGATAAGTTTTAAGTCAACAGGCAACACTTCTCATTTATGATTCAGCCTTTCTTCATTGCTAAAAATGCTACGTGGAGCAGACCTAACACTCCCCAAGCTGCACCAAGTATTTTACCAGAGTGACTGCTGATCTGCTAAGAGTAATACTTAGAAAAAAAACTAAAATAAAGTATAACATAGATTTTCATAGTTTTACTTTTAAAAAGGTAGTTACAAGGATGTTAGTAACTATCTTAATTTACTTAAAATTGAATATCCCTTAATTTCCAAAGATACTTTGTGAAACTGACTGTTCTTGAAGAAAAGCCAAGGCCTGAACCTACTAGAACCTGGCTCTGCAGGAAGAATGTGGAGGCAGGTATTCTGCAAAGGAGCACTTGAAAAGAAATGCTACAAAATACTTGTCAATACTTGTCATCTCTTTAGCAGTCGGCCCCACCTCTGTTGTTTCACTTGATGGAATGGCAGGCTCTATTTCAGAGGCCCGCACAGAAGGGTGTGGGTCTCTCCACAACTCACCTTCCAGTGGATCTCTCTCGAGCCTAAAGTCAGCTCTCCCAATGTGTCTTGGCATCATTTTCCTGACTCTAGCCCCAAATGAAATGCAGTCACCTTCAGCATCTAAGACAGTGGGTGCTATGACCTTCTATCAAGGCATGTGGCATAGATGCTAAAAGCACCAGTGTGACATGGTAAAAACCATGTTAAAAAATCAATGGGTAAGGTGGCAGAGCCTCTAAAGGAAGAAGACAGAGATTTAGCTTCATTACAGAACACTGCACTGTCCTAATTACTATTTCATCATGAGTATGAAGTTCTCCACTTTTCCTTAAAACTAAATTCCATCTTCCCTGAGAATAGGGTTAAGAGAAACATCAAAACTCAAAATGCCAAGGCCCTTTAAAGACAACACAGGGAATGTCTGTATCCAGTTGCAAAGTGTTGTGTCTACTCTAAAAGCTTTTCGGTTACTCCAGATTTTCATCTCACCTCCCTCTGGACTCCAGGAATACAGTGGATGGGCAAGGCGAGACACAAGACTGAGGAAGTGAGTAGCTGTCACGTGCTGGCTGTTCTCACTGGATGGCAAACGGCCATGGACAAAGGCTGGGACCTGAACACTTAATGCTGGTGTCCTATTGACAGGATGAGTGGGATGAGGCAACCCAGAACTAGGGCTGCCACCTCCAACCGGCTGAGGCCTCTCCCTCCCGTGACATCAGGTTTGTGGCTGTGTCCCATTCCGCCCACCTCAGGGAGGACGTGTACTGTGGCAACATAAAGAAATGTTCCGGCAGAGAAAAGCATGGCCACTCCAGTGGCATTGACCTCTGACAGGGCTTCTTTACTGCTCTGTGAATTGAGAGAGAGAGAGAGAAAAGAAAAATTAAGTCCACTAAAATTCAGGGTCAGGAAGAAATCCTGGTAAGGGACACTCAATATTCATAAGTGGTGCTGTCTGGGACATGGGGGATGTCTCAAGATCAGAGCAATTTTATGTCATTTACAGAAATTTCCTAAATAAGGGTATAAGAGTGATGTGCACATTGCTTTTTCAAACAAATTTCAAGTCCTGATGGAACAGGTTTTGCCTGTATTATTCTTAAAATGGAATTAACAATATATGAATGCAGACACTCATTCATTTACTCTCTTTATATTTAACAATCTTAAATACCGTTAGTGCCTCTGTATTTATAAACAGTGCCTCCATGTACCAGGCACTAAGCTAGGTGCTGGGGATACGTAATCAAGATGCAGCACCGCCCTCACAGGCTTAGAAGATCTCATAATTTAATCTTTACACAATTAATTTCAACTTAATCAATCAAAAGAGTGGAACTATGAACTAAAATGATTAATTGAAACATCAAAAAAAGAACATGCCATAAATATGATGTTATTCCATGTCTCCCGAAGTGTCAGTACTTTACTGTCGAAAGTTTTTATAACTTATATTGATCAATAAAGTGATAAACTGGTAACATTTTCAAAGAAGCTCTGCTCTGCTCACTGAATGAGAGAAGGTAAGACTTCTGTGAACAGAAAGGTTTTTTTTTTTTTAACAACTTATTTGTTAACAATTGAGAGCAGCAAACCCTTGATTAACAGAAGTGTTCAAGAACTACCTCATTTTTCATATATTCTTTTTTTTTAAGAGCTTGTTTTACATTCAACGTTATGTGTACAATTCGTTTCACTCCCCATTTACCATGTCCAACCCTAACTCACCCTCCCCTCCCTACCAGTAACCCTCTCCCTGTACCCTTCATATTCATGCACTCCTGTTTGTCCTGCATTTCCTCAATTTGAATGTTGGTCCTCTGGTGCCCTGTGGTCTATTGCTCTAAGGGATGTATTACCATAGAGTATGTGGGTACGTCATCCTGGGCTGAGTGGTCTGTATGTACATCTTATTAACTATTGGCTGAGAACCAGCCCCTGGGGTGAGTTTTAGTTCAGGCACAGAATGTATTCCAGGGCCATAGTATTGGGGGGGTCTCACCAGACTTCATCTGACCAGTAATTCTGGTCATTATTGAGTTTCTGGATTTTGTTCCATGTTTTTCCTCCCACTCTATCCAGGATCTCCAGATTTGATCCTTTCCTGAGTGGTTGGCATTGGTAGCCGGGCACCAACCAGTTCTTCTGGTCTCAAGGGCCATTGTGTCCTAGGGCTGATTGCTTCCAAATGTCCTTGTTTTTTTTTTGGATTCTTCTTTGCTTCTAATGCAAGGAGACCATTAGCTGCATCTTAGATGGCTACTTGATAGCTTTTAAGACCCCAGTCACTACTCACCAATGTAGGATGTGGAGCAAGGCTTTTATGTATTTTGCTGTGCCAAGTGAGTCTGGTGTCCCCCAGTGCTATGGTCCTGAGACAGTATATCTATTGGATCTCTCTCCCATAGAGTCTGGCTGGGTGTGAGGGATTCCTCTGTGTCTGTCTTCTATTGTTTCTGTAAGGACTGCAGGTATTTTGTATCACTGGTGTCTGTACAAGATTAGCCTCAGCTGAATCTATCCTTGGTCTAGAGTATAATCCTGTTCACTGACCCCCATCTGATCCTCTCAGGTGTTTGTGTTTATGTGTTTATCTGTAGCCTGGTGTTTGGTGTTAATGGTAATGCAGTATTGTGGACACATTCGTTGGTATTAGCATCTGTCATTTATCTCTTATGTGCACAATCCGGTGTCCTCCCATTTCCTAACGTTATCATGGTGGTCATAGATCCTTCCCGTATTATTCCTCCCCTTACCCACATCAGTTTGTGGGCCCCAACTAGCCTGAATTAATCCTTCCCCTTCCCTCCCCATCCTGGTAACCTACAAAGTGAGTTCCCTTTCTCAAGCAAACCCATCTTTGTCTTTCTACAGTAATAGGCTCATAAAGTACTTGTCTTTCTGTGATTTCATATATTCCTTTTAATACGTCTTTTACTATATCAAATACTGACACTCAGAAGAATCAACAACCTTCAGAGCACAGGGAAAAGCATTTCCCATGAACTAGCCCTGAGTCATATAGTTTGGTTCTAAGATTTCCCTCCTGTTGCCTGCCAGGTGACATTTAAGTAAAATGAGGAGGGCTGTCGCTAAGAACTGCAGCCTAGTAGACAGAATTAAGGTATGGGAAGAGCCAGTTGAACAACATGGAAGCATTCCAGGCTTTGAGCTGATTCAAAGTGACACGTGTTGCTTCAGATCTAAAGCTAGGCTCCTTGCAATGGTCAAGTGCTGGGTATTTAACATTTGGTAAAGGAGGGCTGGGGCAGAAGATTCTGAGTCTCAGACGAATATACACATCTTTGTTCATGCCTCTTCATTCAGAGATGCTGCACGGCTTGTCAGTCACACATCTCGTGCCCACCTCAACATTAAACAGGAACGGCTGTATTTTATTACATGTCTGGGAAAGTAAAAGGAGCTCTGGTGGTGGTGTGGTTAAAGCACTGGGCTGCTAACCAAAAGGCGAGTGGTTTGAACCCACAAGCCGCTCCATGGGCGAAAGATGAAGCAGTTTGCTTCCATAAAAATTTACAGCCTTGGAAACCCTACAGGGCAGTTCTTCTCTGTTCTGCAGGGTCACTATGAGTCGGAATCAACTTGATGGCAGTGGGTTTGGTTTGGTTTGGTTTGGTTGTAAAAGTACTATCATGTATTTGTGCAAATATTTTTAGATCCAGTGGGGAAGAAGTTTTGAATTAAATTAATAAGAAAATGCTAAATTTATGAAGAGAACTGGCTTGGAATTTATCTTGTCCAGGTTTTACTCCTAATTTTATCTTTAGTTTGAGAGGGTAATTTAGTTGAAAACTTCATCATAAGAGACCATAAATTCTAGTGAGATACAAAAGAACTAGACACTTGTCTAGATAAGCTAGGAATGAGTCCAACTTACCTTACTTAGTCCTAAATATGTTGCCACAGACATAACTGGTGCTGCCAATGCAAAGACCAGCAAATGTTTCCTGATTCGGTTTCGCTCTAGGCCAGCATGCATCAGGAAGGAAACCAGCCCAAACGCAGCTGGTGCCTGCAAAAAAATAAAAAATTATCCCTGTTTTGACTCTAGAAATATGGATTGCTTCCTCATTAAGAAGTACATGTCATTGACTGAATTCTCATACAGAAAAAACAGGCAGAGTACCAAGACTGAGCTATGCCTTTTAGGAATTAATGTTTTAAGGGATTAATGTTGTGTTTGTGTTTCTTAGATGCTAGGAAAGGGAAAGAGTCAATATAAAGATACGCTTTCTCTGGGCTTAGGAAAAAAAAATTCTGAGCAAAAATTACTGTGAAATACAAAAATCTGCAGAGATTTAAAAGTCTCTATGACAAGTTATATGACCACAAAAAAATAAAACTACTTCAAGTAAGTTTAAGAAAATGGTAGGAAAAAAAGAACAAATAAACAAACAAACAACCCACTATGAACAGATTTTTCAATTCTCCACAATGAACAAATCTTTACAGAAGTAGATTGTCCCACCTTCCTTCCCTGGAGCAGCTGGTGGGTTTGAACACCAACCTTCTTCGTTAGCAGTCAAATGCCTTAGGCGCTATACCGCCAGAGCTCCAAAATGAACATGAAAATAAAAATCTTTCCTCTTACACTATCATATCATAGTCTGTAGAAATATTAACAATCAAAGAGAAATCGTAACTATGAACACATGCAATATCAAATCTTGCACCTAAATTTTGCTCACCTTATGTAGCATTATTGCCACAAACACAATTAACTGGACACTAGTCTGTGAAGTAGAAGCTGCTGCTCCCAAAGCAACACCATCAGCTAAATTTGGAAACAATGAAACATAAAATACTATAAATAACAATTAGTAACAATAGTGCAGTGTTTGAGTTTTAGAGTCAGGCAGACCTGGGTTTGACTCTGGGAAGGTTATTTAATGTTTCAGAACCTCAGCTGCCTCTAAAACGCCTTCAATAAAGTATGTACTTCTTCGGGTCTTCATGAGGATTAAATCAGCTAACATACGGGCTCAGCACCTGGCCTGGACTATTCACTATATGCTAGCGATTATTGTCTTTGTTATTGAAAAAGTACGGTGCTCAAAAATCTACTGATTAGTTAATCAAATTGTAATAATAGAAATACCAAAGAAGAATCGCTATGTTCCAAAAAAACTTTACTCTTGGAAACAGAAATTTAAATTTCATATAATTTTCAAAACTCACAATATTTTCTTTCTTTTTTCCCCCAACGATTTAAAAACATAAAAACCATTGCTAGCTTGCAAGCCCCTGTTTTAGGGACTGACACCAAGTGTGCCGGGGCTTGTGCTGGGGAACTTCTTGTGGTTAAGCAACCTTCCCTCTTCCCTGCAAGGCCAGACTAGGAGCGCTAATGCGGACAGTCCCTGTAATGCGAACGCCAAGCCTCTCACTGTGTGAAGTGAGGAAAGGGGCTTCGCTGCATCCCGCTCTACCTGCAGCATGGACGACCAGGCCCAGCGTGGTAGTGATTTTGGAATTGCTGGGTCTTGCTGTTTCTGGATCTGAAGTGAAAATGAGAAAGGCAGACATTAAGCAACGTGAGATAGAAACTGTCAGAACATTGCCTGGAGGTGAAAAATTATTTGAAAGCTCTTATAGGGGCACATTATTTTACTCACTGTTCTCTTTTTGTTCCAAACACCAAGGTGTTTCCCCTCGTTCTGAAGAGGAAGGTAAGACAGGACTCTTCCTTTGACCCAGTGGTCCTTTAACAGACAAATTCCTGGAGGGTATAACCCCCACTAACTTACCTTCCTCACACTCCTTAACTCCTCCCATTCCAAGGAAAGCGCGCTATGGCCTTCAACCACTTCTTCCCAGACCAATCTAATCGTCCTTGTCTACCTCCTCCTCTTCCCCAGCATTTATCTTCATTGGAACATCAAAATGTCTGCCACATTTGCCTTTCTTCACTTTTGTCACTATCCTAACCTAAACTTTATCAACTCAAATATAAATTAGCAATAGTCTTCCAGTTGGTTTTCTCTTCCTCTTCCTTCTCCCTAGTCTAATTCATCTTTCATATCCTGGTAAGGTTCGTCTTTCTGAAATATCATCCTTCTGACAAGTCAGTTAACTAGTTAAGACATCTGCTGCTTTCCCAATTTAATCCAAACTGCTCTACTAGGTAGGCAGTTAAGCCCTTATCAACTAGTTCCATCTTACTTCTCACTATCTAGTCCAGTTATGCTAGTTTCTTTAATACTTTCTAACCAAAAAAAAACCAAACTCACTGCCGTCAACCCCTCCTTGGGTTTCTGAGGAGGTATCGGTATGGAAGTAGATCACCCAACCTTCCTTCTGAGGAGTGCATGGTGGGTTTGAACTGCCAGCCTTCTGGTTAGCAGTCAAATGCCTTAGGCACTATACTACCAGAGCTCCTACACCTTCTGAAAAACATTCTTATTCTCCTTTTTCCCAAATCTCCTCACCCTTAATTCTTGGGCAGGTACTAAACTACTCAGCTTATCAATCCAAAACCTAGATACTGTTCAAAGTCTAATTCAAGGACCACTTCCTGTACAAATCAAACCAAACCCACTGCCAATGAACAGATTCCAACTCAAAGCAACCCTATAGGACAGAGTAGAACTGCCTCATAGGGTTTCCAAGGCTATAAATCTTTACAGAAGCAGACTGCCTCCTCTTTCTCATGCAGAATAGCCGGTGGGGTCAAATCCCTGATTTTCGGTTGGTAGCCAAACGCTTTAAGCACTGCATCACCAAGGTTCTATATGCTACTTCAAAGTTCTTTCTATATCATCATCTTCAATGTATAAAATTGTTTTCACGTCTTATCTCCATATTGACCATAAAGTATAAATTATTAACATTTCTATTTCTTTCTTTAATTTTTATTGTGGTGAAATATATATACCAAAAATATTTGCCATTTCAACCACTGTATAATTCAGTGATATTAATTACATTCATCATGCTGTGTGTCTATCACCATTATCCATTTTCTTTTCTTTTCTTTCTTTTAATCAACTTTAACAAAAACTCTGTACCCCCTAAGCAATACCTTCCCATTACCCTCTCCCACTTAGCCCTGTTAGCTACTAATAAACTTTGGTCTCTGTATTTGCCTATTCTGGATGTTTCATATATTGGGATCATACTGTATTTGTCCTTTTACATCTGACTTACTTTAGTCAGCATACTGTTTTCAAGGTTCATCTATATGAGGTATCATGTGTCAGAACTTCTTTCTCTTTATGGCTGAGTAATATCCAATTGGTGGCATATAGCATCTGGCTGCTAACTGAAAGGTTGGCAGTTCAAACCCACTAGCTGCTTTGCTGAAGAAAGACCTGGCAGTCTGCTTCTCTAAAGATTTACAGCCTTAATAACATACTACACAAAACACTGTTCCACATCCTACTTTGGCGAATAGCGACTAGAATCTTGAAAGCTTGCAAGTGGCCATCTAGATGCAATGAAGTGTCCCTCCTCGTCCAGAGCAAAGAAGAATGAAAAAAACCAAAGATGCGTGGAAACAATTAGTCCAAGCAATGGGTACACCACGTGATCCTATACAACTATGAGACCAAAAGAACTAGATAGTGCCCAGCTACCACTGTCAACCCCTCCAAGAGGGATCTATGTAGGAAATCCTGGATAGAGAGGGAGAGCAATGTGGAACAAAACTCAAAATCATTAAAAAAAAAAAAAAAAAGGACCAGATTGCTGGTCTGATAGAGCCTGATGAAACCACTGAAACTATGGCCCCTAGCTGCCCTTCAGGTTTGGAACTGAACCCATTCCTGTGGCTTCCAGCCAAACAAAAGACAGGCATATGAGCTGAACATTTACATTAGGTAGATATACTCCTGGGAGAGAACAATCATGGGAGAAAGAAGGGCTGTGTATGCATAGGGAGACAGCTCAGGGGGCAGGAGTACATGGAGGGAAGGACATAGGGAAAAGGTAACTATGGGGAGGAAGTGGGAGGAGAGCTATTGCATTGTGGGAAATTATAGTCAATGTCATGAGATAAAGTGTATGTGAGCTGTTGTATGGAAAGTGAATTTGCTCTGTAAACTTTCACGTAAATCACAACAGAAAAGAAAAAGATTTATATGTCTTATGTACTACAGCACTGAGCACTCAAGAATTGCTTAATAAATCTCTGTTGGTGAAAAAAAGTATTTATCTGTTATCACATGAAGATGTTCCTGCTATTACAGGAAACACAAAAGCAAGTAAATAATATTCACAAGATTTAAAGTTAACAGATGTGGACATGAAAATGCAAGATGAAATGACAGATGGGCATTAACCAAATAAATTCCAGAGGCTTTAGTCTTAAGAAGGTTAGCACACAGGAGGAAGAGGTTACAGTGGAAAAAGTAAGTAACATGTTACCTTCTGCAGTGTAGTAAATTACACAGTGTGGCTTTTCTACCCATAAGTCTTTGTAAACTCCTGGTGGAATTTGCCTTGAGCAACTGAGTAGCTCCTGATTGTTAAAGTTATCCACCTGGGATATTTCTGTTGGGAGCAGCACAAAGTAATTTTCTGGGAAGTTCGAGCTCTCTCAGGTGTATAGAATTCTGATGTTGGGATTGGTTAGTTTGGCCACTCTGCCAGGCTCAAAAGGAGCCCTCCTAGAGGCAAAAGGTATCTCTCACTGCTGGCTGGGAGATGTGAAAGATACGCATTGCTAAGAGAGACACAGAGAGACATGAGCACTGCTGAGAGAGACACCAAAAGACACACACTGCTGAGAAAGAGACTGAAAGAGACTGTCGGCTGAGAGACAGCAGGCTGAGAGAGATTGAGCATGTCCCATATTGCTTCCCTAATAAGCACCATAATCTGTGAATTCTGTGTGGCCACTGTAGCGAATTATCAAATCCAGCAGAGAGGTGGTGGGTGCTGTGGGAGGAATGGTTGGTCAAAGGGCTGAAGGGAGGCGGCATGTCTGGCCTCATAGGAACAGGCCTTGGGTTGCTGATGGTGGTTCTGTCTTCCTCTTGTGGGGTTAGAGGAGGTCAGAAGATGGAGCCTCCCTGCCCCTTTGGCACCTTCTTACTAATAAATTTTATCTTCCTATTAAAATACTGTATGGAAGGGAAACTAAAGACCCAAATTACTCTAAGACAACAAATATTTCAGTGTCATCTCAGATTGTGAAAAACAATCATACTACGTTGTGTGACAAGCTTGTTTTGGCTCTTTACATAGTCTTGGAATCTAGTTAAAAGTATTAACTCAAAATAAAAATTAGAGGCTTTAAAATGACACAATTTTCGTAAGTCTATAGGAAAAGACTGCATTTTAAGCAGCATAAACTTAATAAATGAGTTAACTTTTACTGATATTTAATAATATCTAAAAGCCTAGTGTAGTGCCTAAGGCACTTGACTGCTGACCAGTAGGCTGACGGTTCAAACCTACCAGCCACCCCTCAGAAGGAGGATGGGGTAATCTACTTCTGTAGTGATACCACCTTGGAAACCCAACGAGGGGTCGCTATGAGTTGGATCTGACTTGGCGGCAGTGAGTGTTTTTTTTTTTTTTAACCCTATAGAGAACAGGTAAAACCAGGTCATCAGTTACATGAAAGACAGCAAGAAGTTACCTCAAAGAATGAAATAGGAGGAAGAACAAAGGAACACATGGTGCATTTAATTCTTTGTATAGAATTACAGGGCACTAATGAGTCTATAAATGCATTTTAAATTGAAACTGACAAGAATTACAAGCGAAATGTCAGAGAGGCCACTGTGGGCAATTATGTAAAGCACTGGGAGTCAGATATCACCCAGCAGAGGGTGCTTCTCTTTTGCTATTTGGATTAAAGCACACAAATAGAACCAACTACTCTCAAATAAAATTTCCAAGATAAGACATTGCTATTTAAAGAGAAAGTTGGTAGGGGGCAGGGGGAGCAATAATAAATGCAATGAGATTTAAAACCTTTCCAGAACAAGGATATTTTAAAATTTAATCTCATGTTTGTTTTTAATATTTTATTTGGAAACAATTTGAAACCTTTACAAAAGTTACAAAAACAGTTAATACACAATTTTTTTCCTGAACATTTGAGAGTAAGCTACACACACTGTAACCCTTATCCCTAGATACTTCAGTGTGTATTTCTTAAGAAAAAGAATATTCTCTTATATAGCCCTACAGTTATCAATTCAGTAAATTCAACACTGACAGTTTTTTTCTTAATCTATCTTGTGTGTTCTAATTTTGTGAATTGCTCACAAATGTCCATCAGAGCATTTTCTCTGTCTGGGACAGGAGCCAAGGACTCCTGGTGATGCAACAGTTCAGTGCTTGGCTGTTAACCTAAAGGTTGGTGGTTCAAACCCACCCAGGGTCTGTGGGAGAAAGATGTGGCAATTTGCTCCTATAAGGATTACAGCCTAGAAAACTATGGGAAAGTTCTACTCTGTCACATGGGTTGCTATGTTAAAGAGTCCCAAAACTGACTGACGGTACCTAACACCTCCAGGACAGGACTCAGCCCAAGATCACACACGGCACCTAACACCACCAGGACAGGACTCGGCCCAGGTCACATACGGCACCCAGCACCACCAGGACAGGACTCGG